CATATAGAGGATCGAGTTTATATATTTTATTAACTTAGTCATTATCAAGGAATTGATTGTTTTACTTGAACATTATAGATTCCGTCCTTATTACAAATAACTGAGTTCAGGAATTAACCCATGATTGAATTTGATCAACTGTCATGCTTATAGAGAATCAGGTTTTTAGTATTTATCGATTGAGTTTTAAAAATAAACTGATACTTTTGAAAATAACTGGTTGAGATTCAGTATCAACTAGGTCATCATCAGATTATTTGATTTGAATCATGTCGACTCTATTCTGCTTACAGAAGATTAGATTCAAAAATTAACGCATGATTGAATTCTAATATTGTTAACTCAACTGCTTATAGAGGATTGGGTTCATAGTATGTATCATTTGAGTTTTAAAAAGATTTTGAGACTTGATTTTGAAAATGTACTCCTCTAGTTGAGATTCATTATCAACATAGTCATCATCTTGGATAAGTTGTTTGAACATAATTTGAAATACTAGTTCTATGGACTCCAATTCTCGTGAGGAGGATCAGGTTGGAATATTATGACGTAGTATTGCCAACTTAAGTTTTTTGTATGGAGGAGGATTAGACTGGCCAAATAGAGACTTACGAACTCGTCTTATAGGAAAGATGGCCTAATCGAGAGCATGTGAGAATTATAAATTTAAATTTGAATATTGAAAAAAGACTTGTAAAATTATGATAACTGCATGCTTCTCAAGGCAATTTAAATTTTAGCTTGAACACATTGTTAACCTGCACACAACATTTTCAAACATTTAAGTTTGAGTATTTAAAAACACATCGGAGCATACACGGGTATGTCGAACTTGTTCCTATTGAATTTAGATATTTAAGTATTATTTGCACGAATATATTATCTTTGAAATACGTGCAAATATTTTGCTTTAAGCATTTAGTTTTGCCTTTTGTCCTCTAGTGCTTGTGTTGCGGATCTGATGGCGATTAAGAAATTGTAAATCTTGATTGTGCATTTTAAATATTATATTTTACTCATACTTAGCCTTACACTTAGTGAGAAAATGCGAAATAAATATATCCGTGAAAGGGTTTGTGTAGCTCCCATAACATACATTATTAGAGAGAGTAGTCTTAAATGGTTTATTCACATTAAATGTCCGCCATCAGATGATTCGCTTAGGAGAGTAGATGTTCTAGATTCAATTTATGTTAAGAAATGTAGAGTTAGACCTAAAATGACTTGGACATGTTATATAAAAAATGATTTAAATTTATTAGAATTAAATGAAAATATGACTCTCAATACGACACAATGGAGAAAAGGGTTTCATGTAGCCAACCTCGTTTAGTGGGACAAAGACTTGTTGTTATTGCATGTTTGGCGATGAGTATTTAGTTGATGGGCTTTAAATAACCACTTCATTAATCTCAATATAACTTCTTCTAATATCAAACCATCAAATTGAAATAGTTCAAGTACATCTTATATTTAACATAAAATGCACACTAAAATTAAATTTTCATTTTTTTGACTAGGCTAATTTGTATTTACTATTCTAATTTTATTTTAATGGAGTTTTATTTGAATTTATGATTATAAAAGTTTTTAAACATGGAGATACAAAATCTGCAAACTTAATTATTATAATCCAACATTAGCTACCTATAAATCATAAACATGGTATTTTAGGTTTTAGAGTCTCTTTTGAAAAGTTATCCCAAATTTTTGTTTTAAATTTATTGATTATGTATATAGGATTACATTAAACTTGAAGAAGGCTTACTTTATTAAGAAGAAATCCCTCTGTCCTTTTCTCAATCTAATCTCCTTTTTAATTAAAGCCAATTTGCCTCCAACTATGCTCATAGCTCCTCACTATCTAATCACTCTCACATCACACACAGTGTTGCCATTTTCCTGCACTCATAATCACTCACATGAGGGTATTTTGAACATGTTCCTATTGAATTTAGATATTTAAGTATTATTAGCACAAATCTATTATCTTTGAAATATGGGCAATTTTTTTATTTTAAGTATTTAATTTTGGATTTTGTTCCCTAGTGCTTGTGTTGTTGATCTGGTGGCAACTAAGAAGTTATAAATCTTGATTGTGCATTTTAAATATTATATTTTACTAATACTTAGCTTTTACTCTTAAAGAGAAAATGTGACACAAATGTATCCCTGAAACGGTTGGTGTATCTCCAATGACAGACAAGATTAGACATAGTCGTCTTAGATGGGTTTTTCACCTTAAACGCCGACCATTTAATGATCCTGTTAGGAGAGTAGATGTTTTAGATTCGACTTACGGCAAGAAATGTAGAGGATGACCTAAAATGACTTGGGCATGTTGTATAAAAAAAACGATCTTAATTTATTAGAATTAAATGAAAATATGACACTCAATGGGACACAATGAAGAAAAGGGATTCATGTAGCCAACCCAGCTTAGTGGGATAAAGACTTGTTTTTGATGTTGTTGCATGTTTGGAGAGAAGGTTGATGGTCTTTAAAGAATCACTTCATTAATTCCAAGATAAACTCTTCTAATATCAAACCATCAAATTGAAATGGTTCAAGTACATCTTATATTTAACATAAAATGCACTCTATTAAATTTTCATTTTCTTTAACTAAGCTAATTAGTATTTGCCATTCAAATTTTATTTTAATTGAGTTTTATTTGAATTTATGATCGTAAAAGTCTTAAAACATGGAGATTACAAAATTTGCAATGTAATTATTATAATCCAAGATTAGCAACCTATAAATCATAAACGTGTTGTTTTAGGTTTTAGAGTCTCTTTTGAAAAGTTATCCCAAAATTTTTTTTGCTTGTTAAGAAGGAATCCTCTCTTTCCTTTTCTATCTATCTCCTTTTTAATCGAAGCTAAATTGAGGATTTTTCATAGCCAATTTGCGGTTAATTACGCTCATAGCACGTCACTATCTGATCACCCTCACATCGCATGCAGTGTTGCCTTTTGCCCACAACCGTAGTCACTCACATGCAGGTATTTTGAACGTGTTCCTATTGAATATATATATATTTAAGTATTATTTGCACAAATATATTATATTTGAGATACATGCAAATATTTTATTTTAAGCATTTAATTTTGCCTTTTGTCCCCTAGTGTTTATGTTACGTATCTGGCGACGATTAAGAAGTTGTAAATCTCGATCGTGCATTTTAAATATTATATTTTATTAACACAGTTTTTACACTTAGAAAGAAAATGTGAAACGAATGTATCCTTGAAAGGGTTGGTGTAGCTTTAATGGCAGACAACTATTAGAGGGTGTCATCTAGATGGCTTGGCCACATTATACGGCGGCTAACTGATGATTCAATTAGGAGAGTAGATGTTTTTGATTCGACTTATTTTAAGCAATGTAGAGTTAGACCTAAAATGACTTGGGCATGTTGTATAAAAAAAATGATCTTAATTTATTAGAATTAAATTGAAAGATGCACTCAATAGGGCACAATGGAGAAAAAGGATTCATGTAGCCGACCCCGCTTAGTGGGATTAAGGCTTGTTATTGTTGTTGTTGCATGTTTGGATAGATGAGAATTTAGTTGACGGGCTTAAGAACCACTTCATTAATACTTCATTAATCTCAAGATAAACTCTTCTAATATCAAACCATCAAATTGAAATAGTTCAAGTACATCTTATATTTAACCTAAAATGCACACTAAAATTAAATTATCATTTTTTTAACTAAGCTAATTAGCTTTTGCTATTCTAATTTTAATTTAATTGAGTTTTATTTGAATCTATGATTGTAAAAGTCTTAAAAACGTGGATATTACAAAATCTGCAATTTACTTATTCTAATCCAACATTAGCTACCTATATATCATAAACATGGTATTTTAGGTTTTGGAGTCTCTTTTTAAAAGTCATCCCAAATTTTCTTAAAATTTATTATTACATATTTATGATTACATGAAACTTGAATAAGGCTTACCTTATTAAGAAGAAATCCTCTCGCTCCTTTCGATCTAATCGCCTTTTTAAAGCTACATTGAGGATTTTTCATAGCCAAGTTGTTGTCAACTTCACTCGTAGCATGTCACTATCTGATCTTGCTTGCTTGCTCTACCTTCAACACTTCTTTACTCACTTCATCTGGACTAGTAAGTGTTCATACAACAAACTCTACTGCTGATTGTCTCCCAAGTTAACTTGTTCAGTAGATATATATTTAATAATAAAATGATAGTATTATATATATATATATATATATATATATATATATATATATATAATAACTAACTCACGTGAAACCTTCTTTGCAATCTTCTCTTAAATTGTATTATTAACACTATTTAAATTATATTCATATTTTTTTCAGCAAACAGCTTTTTTAAATCTATTTGATTTAGATAGCTTGTTTAGATCTCAACTTTTTTTGTTAAGAAAATTTATTAAAAATTTGCTTGTAAATAAATTTTGCAATCAGCAAAATTAGCATTCAGCAATTAGCAAAATGTATTAAAAATTGCTTAGATAAATAATATTTTGGGCCTTTATAATGCGGCTGATTTAAAAAAAAAAATCCCCGACTTGGACTTAGGCAAGGCGTGAATGTGTGATATATTTTATACTAGTTTCTATAACCTTTGACTTGCACATTTTGATATTCATTTTTTTTAGTCGTAGTTGATGGCATTCATGATGTAATGTATGGAGTTGGATTATGGTTGAAATGATGAATAGGAAGATGCCTTTTTAGTGAATTGAGACCTTTACTACATGAATAAAATGCACAAAAATGGTCGTTCGAAAACATAGATTAAAATGCCGAACTTAAACGTTAAAATAACTGGGTAATCAGTGAGAAGAATTCAAATAATATGGGATACAAATTTTTTCTACGTTGCACTCCTTAATTTCCATCCTATAAACTTTGGAAAATTTGTTATCTCGATTCAGAGTTTTTTAGTTTTGACAATTTTTCCTTTACTGAAATAACATATTTTATTCATAACGGTGCAGGTCCCTGGCAACTTAATAGTCTCCGCCCGTTCTGGCGCACACTCTTTTGACGCATCTCTAATGAATGTATCACACCTCGTTTCCCATTTTTCATTTGGAAAGCAGCTCTCTTCGAAGATGTATTCTGAAATGAAGCGGCTTACACCACTTCTGGGAGGAAGCCATGATCGCCTGGCTGATAAATCTTACATAATTAGTCATGATGACAATAAGGCAAATGTCACTGTAAGTTTTTTATTAATCTCCACCTTTTTAATGAAAATATATATTATCATGTAAATGACCAAAATGACCCCTAGGGGCTTAGGCATTTTTGGTGTTTAATTTAGTCTCAGTTTTATTCTAATCGCACAACTCATCAAATCGGAACACATTTAGTATTGCTGTCAACTTTAACATTTGTTTAAATGGCATTGGAGGAGGAAAGTTTTTCACTATTGTATTTTAGACGTTTAAGGGTCAATATTTTTTAGTTTGAGTTTGTATTAAATACTGAATTCTACTTTAAAAATGCACTCGTGAAATGTTTTTCTTAACCAGTTTCCAACCAAAAAAATAACGTAAGTGATGTTACGATTTCCGTCTGAGTAACATTAAAGCTAATGATATGATTAAATTAGCTCAGATTTCATGAATCAAGGAATTAAATTGAACATCTGAAGAAGTCTCGAACTAAAATAGACTCTTTTTAAGGATCATTTTGACCATTTCCTAACATCTATTCCAGTAAAATAAATGATCAAAATGAAAATGATGCCCAAACATTTTAGGTCTATAGACTCAATTGAAAAGCTCAGGTTTAGCAGCCAAAAAATAAAAAAATAAAAAATAAAAAAAGAGAGAGTACTAAATCCTCAAAGTTTGTTTCTTAAGATCGAGCATTACCTTCAACTGGTAAAGACGGAGATTGTCACAAGAAAGTCCTCCAAGCAGCTGAAGCTGTTTGAAGAGTACGAGTACACAGCACATAGCAGTTTGGTGCACAGTCCGGACATTCCCGTTGCCAAGTTCCACTTTGAGCCCTCTCCCATGCAAGTGGGTATAACAACTTTTGAGTTCCATTTTAATATACACACATACATATATACATTCAATTGGGTATATTTAATCTGTTTTGCTTTCAGGTCTTAGTAACTGAAATACCTAAATCCTTCTCGCATTTCATCACCAATCTTTGTGCAATTATTGGAGGAGTTTTCACGGTACAAAATTGATTTCATAAATGCCTGTTTTTCTCTTTATTCATATACATGGATGTATTAATAGAATTTGGTTTTATTTATTAACAATATCTTTCAGGTTGCTGGGATACTGGACTCAATCCTGCACAATACAATGCGACTTGTGAAGAAAGTAGAGCTAGGAAAGCAATTTTGATATTCCTAATTCAAAATTTTTTGGTCTCAACGGTAGTGTTAGTTTGGCTAACTAACCTTCTTAAGAGCATTGAGGCTTTGAAAAACATTTGTAAAAAAAAATTATAACTTAGATTATTTATAATGAACTATTTTCTTTGATAAAAGCAGAGTTTTACATGTTATAACTGTGTGCTCGACCCCTATAATTTTGTTACCTATGACGCAACCACTATTTAAATTTTATGATCATGTTATCTTTAATTTTGTTACCTATGACCCAACCTTCTTAAGCATTATATAGAGTTGGTGCATCATTTCTTAGTGTAGCCAGGTGTCAGGCTGGTGGTTGAAGAAGTGCATGGCAGAGTAATGATGAGAATGCTATGTAGAGAGATTTCTCTATTTTGTGATCATCAGTTGAAAGGTTTGAGATGGCAGGAGAATTAGATTTTTTTTTTTTTTTAATTTTTTGATAGGGTGGGCTCCTGAACCGGTATTTTAGGATTCTTCACTATATTTTTAACCGTTGTGATATCCATTCGAGCACGTATACTTTTTTAAGAGAAACATAATGAAAGTTAAGAAGTTATTATCAAATTTAGGGAGGGAATTTCATTGACATAGACGTTAGAAAATCATTATAAGTATAGAGAGGGAATGTGTGTGTGTTTGTGTGTGTGTGAGAGAGTTATGTTCGCGATCTTTAATGGAGGTGCAAATGAGTTGAGATTGAGTGAGCTAGTATATATTAGAGTTCAGCTTGTAAAAAAATCAATTTATTAAAAATTGACTCGTGTTTGAAATGAAACATGAATAACCTATTTGTGATCGACTTGATTAGAATTTTTTGTTCGTTTGAGGCGCTTGTTCGGCTTGAATTTAGCTCAATGATTTAAAAAATAATAATTTTAAATAAAGCACAAAAAATAAAAAAAATGTTATAATTGTATACACCATAACTGTCAGCATGAATCTCAAAGCATCTAAACGGCCCATATGATGGCAGGACAACCAATGCGTCATATCGCTCTATTGTCAACCGCGTGGTTGAGAATTGACCAACACGCCATGGAGAGAGACTCAAGCGACAGACCCGATCGACCGAGAAGTAGGCAAGGATCCTTGATCGCGGCTAATCGGTAAAACCATTTTATTGCAACAGACGAGATCGAGATTCAACTGGGTGCCTCGGTCGGCTAACATGTACTTCAGAGAACACAGTTGCTACTCAACCGGTCGCCTCAGTCGGCTGAATTAAAGTAAGTCGGTCAGCCAATTACCACTATGTTAAAATTTTAATTATAACTATAGATATGGTATGAATCCATTGTATTAAATGTGGTTTCCATAACCGTCCCCTCCTTTCCATAATTGTACAAAATACTCTTCTATAAATGGTAAGAAAAAATATGAATGAAGGGTCCTCTTTTTCCGACTCTCTTTACAGGGAATTCTAAACATATTCTACTCTCTCTCTCTCTCCTTCGTCCAACCCTAACTCTCGAGGCATATTCACAAAGGACAAATTATGCTCCAACATCCTAAAAGGTGGTGCGGTGAGTGTGGATATGCCACATATGAGAAGTCGAAAAGACTACAAAGGAGAAACTTCCAAAAAAAAAAAAAACACGCATGGAACTCAATACAGATATTACATAACCAGACATCCATGCACAAGTATAGGGCTTGCAAGCCCAAATAACCCTTATGATAGAGCAATTCAAGATCCTCCAGGTAGCAATCAACTAGAGGAACGATCAGTCGCCACATTTGGAGGCGGAACCTCAGTGGGTTCACGCCAAAGGGCCGCACCAGCAGCCTAGCTACTCTGGACAACCAAGTCAGCGACCAGCGGATGAAGGGACAAGGCGAGTTCCAACACACAGACACCAGACCATCTGCACAGGAGAACAGGCGT